TTTTTTTTTTTAACGTTTATTTACTTTTGAGAGAGAGAGAAAGAATGAGAGAGTGAGCATGAGCGGGGAGGGGCAGAGAGAGAGGGAGACACAGCATCCAAAGCAGGCTCCAGGCTCTGAGCTGTCAGCACAGAGCCCGACGCGGGGCTCGAACTCACCAACCTCACGACCATGACCTGAGCCGAAGTTGCATGCTTAACCGACTGAGCCACCCAGACGCCCCTAAACTCCTTGTTTCTTACTTTAGTGACTCGAACGATGAGCGAGAGTCAAACCCTCCAGATAAAGAGGAAGTCCACGAGAAGGCCGGGAAGACTGAGCCAAGCTTCACCAAAGAAAACAGCAGGTTTCTCTAACGGGACACCAAACCCACCCCCACCACACCACCCCGGCAGGAGAGCCACAGGCCGAGTTGGTCTGACAGAGCGGTGTTCCAGAACCAGTCTATACACGCACTCGGGTTCACCTCCTTGTGTGTGAGATGTGAATTTAGGGGCAAGTCAGCCGCCGGCTAGTGTTTACTGAGACCCCGTAGGCCTTTAGACACAGGACCTACTTACCTTCTACTCAGTACCTGCAGGCTCTCGATCTCAAATTTAATAATGGGGGCAGGAGGCCAAGTATGTCAGAGCCACTAGACGAGCCAGACGCAGAGAAGGGTGCATCACCATAACCGTGGTGAGCGCTTTCATCCGGTCCTAAAGCCGCTTCTCCACCAGCTGAACAGTAGCATCTGAAAGGCTCTTCGTAGGCCCAGGACCACCAAGGAGGGACCGTCCCTGTCCTGCCAGGGTGCCAGGCTCGAGAATATTAAATAACCTGTCTAGTCTGGTTGGAACAGAGCATTTTCTTCCTCCTGTTTTTTTTTTCCCAAAGTAATGGCATTCCCCTGTCCTGATAACATCTTAATTCCTCACTATCTCCCCACAGCAAGATCCCTAAAAAGGGCTTCGTGGAGGTAACGGAACTCACAGACGTGACATACACCAGTAACCTGGTCCGCCTGAGGCCGGGCCACATGAACGTGGTCCTCATCCTGTCAGACCCCACCAAGACCAGCCTACTGCAGAAGTTCGCGTTGGAGGTCTACACATTCACTGGGTAAGCTCGTGGGAGGGAGAGCAAGGGAGGGCACGTTCGGGTGAGGGGGGAGCTGGAGGACAGTTTCACCCTTTTCCCCTTGACCACGGGGGGCTCCTTGCTTGCAGCGAGATGTTGGCTGTGACCTCTTGTCCCCTTGACTCCCTGTCCCGATGCTTCTGAACAGAAGAGCTCCCCCCCCCCCCCC